AAACCTCTACCTCCTCCCACTTCCCCATCTACTAATGGAGGGCTCTGCTCCCATAGCCGCCTGGCCACACTTGCCAAGGCTTGCTCTCCCAGCCTAGGCCAGCTTCCGGAGGACCAGCCTGAACCCGCTCCAGGACCTTACACACTGTGGGCCATTAGGACATGTGCAAGGGTCTGAATTTCAGATCTTAATACTATGTATTATTGTCACGTGAATTAGAAAAAATATAATTAATACATCAGACCTTTGATTTCAAAGATGATACTACTTTCGTTAAGTAAAAGGAAAGTGATTGGGTTAAAGCGATTTAAATAACAATACATAAATAATTTAGATGGAACCTGGATATGACTTAAAGTATCTAGTAACTGAAGTTGGGGAGACACTCGGGGAGGGTCTGAGAACACCAGGTCAGGAGACCAAGTGGGTGAGGCCAGGGTCATAAGCGGCAGGGATTTGAGGGCAAGGTTGGCCGGTTCCGGGCCTTCAGGCCACCACTGCCCCATCCCGGGTCCAGGATGACAGCGCCCCTGGGTCATGTCCTTCTCTCCCCAGCCCTATAGTCAGTAGGAATTAGCCCACTAGAGAGGAATCATTTGCCTTCCAAGATGGTTTTAGGGAAGCCAGGAAGTCAGACTTCGCTCCATCTCACCCCGAGTCACCATCTGTAGATAAGTGACTTCACAGGGACACCTTGGCTGGCCTGGCTTCCCAGGCATTGACGGTCAAGACCCTGAATGACTCTTTGCTCTCTTTCTTCCTAGATAGTCAGAAAATGGCCAGTTCTAGACATAAAGGGAGAATGGCTTTGACTAGGCCGGGTGTCATCTGGGTGGCCAGGGAAATCAGGGCCAGGATCAGCATGGCCTTTTGGAAATCTCAGAGACCAGGATTCCGGTCCTGGCTGCACTTTCTGGAGTCTCCTCCTCCGTAAATTGGAGACTGCCGTGCTTTCTTCCCAGGGGCGCTGGAAGGAGCCTGAGAGCCATGTGCAAAGCGCCCCTCGGAGAAGTGCTTAGTGCAGCTGGTGGTGAGCCCAGTTACCCGCCCAGAGCCCCCCTTGGCTAGCCACCCGCCGCCACCGTGTCGCTGCGATGTGACCCTGCTGCCGCCAGAGATCTCCCGCTCATCTGCCCTTTTATCACCCTGCACACAATCGGGGGAAGCCTGGAAGGCCGCTGGGGCCAGGCAGATGGAAAACAAAGAGAGAAAACAAAGGCGCTGCTCCGAGGAGGCCAAAAGGCAGGGTGACTCCTCCCTCCCCACCCCCACCCCCACCCCTCGCCTGGCCAGCCCGTCCCACCAGCTCCAGGCCTTGGCCACCCCCAGGCTGCCGGCAGTCTGCCCCACCCCTGTAGAGACTAACTTCAGACCTCACGTAGTATCACCTATCGCTGGGTGACCCTTGGCAAGTCACTTTTCCAAGCCACCCTTTTCTTATCTGTAAAATGAGGGAGTTGGACAGCAAGCTACTTGACCTTAGGCAAACTCTGTCTCCTTATCTCTGCCAGGAGTCCTTTCTGGGGCCGGCTCAATCCATCTCTAAGACACCCCACTAACCCCAGAAAGTCAGGTTGGGTGCCCACTTCTGCCCATAAAGAGGACCCCAGCATGCCCTGGGCAGCAAGGCAAGCAGGAGGTCATTTTCTGCAGAGATCTCGGTGCTGGGTGTGTAAGCGTTTGTGCAGAGTGAACGGTGTAATCAGAAGGGTGCTTAACTCGGTGTCAGCCCTTGGTGGCTGCTGCTGTTGGAGCCTCTGAGGGAGGGAAAACTCTCCTGGGCCCCCTAAAGCAGTAAGTAGCAAGGAGCAGTGGTTGAGGGTTCATAACTTCGCCAAGGCCAGGCTATCTGGGTTCTATCACAGCTGTGTGACCTTTGGGCTGCTTAACCCTTCTGTGTTTGTGTTCTCATCGGCTAAAATGGGTATAGTACCAACCTCACAGGCTGTGGTGAGATTAAGTGAGTTAATTCACATAATGTACTTCAAACAGTATCAGATAAAGGTCCATTAATGTTAGGTACTATTATCGTTAGTTTTCATCACTATTATTAATCAGAGGTGGACATACTAGGAGACTCATGGAGCTTCAGCCCCCAAGCCCCTCCCCTGAACCACGAGGGTGAAAGTGGGAGTTTTGCCGGCAGCGGTGGAGGGTTCTAGGTGGCAAGGGCACCATGTTGCTTTCAGGAGCATTTCTGTGTAAGCATTTCCCACCCCATAAGGCCACTCCCCACCCTGACTCCACATTCTCCTTCACCTCCTGATACCCACATCCTGTTCTCTGGGGGAGGTGCAGGCAGCTAGAACATGGGGCCTGAATTCCTAAGGCTCTAGGAATTTGTTGTCATTTATTTTCTCATTCTAAATATATATTTGTAATTTTATGTATATGTTTAAAGAGAACCTCCAAAATAGTGTAAGCTCCAGGCCCTGGACCACCACCAGCTTACTTCTGTTCCCATTATTATATTTCCAGGGCCAGCCCTGTCCTGCCCATTTTACAGCCCCAGCAGGAGGATAGCCTGGGCCGTGGAGCTGGAAGGACCTAACTGCTCTCCCTGTAGGCAGCTGTGTGTGTGCAGGCCTGCCTCTGAGCACCCCAGACTGCAATTCACACCCCATAGCCCAGGTTGAAGGAGCCCCAAGGAAGGCAGGCAGGAGAGTGGGACCCTGAGGGAAGTTCTCCTGAAGGAGACCCCAGACGTGCAGGGGTTCCTGCCCCTGTGCTATAGGCTGTCCTCCTCCCCACTCCCCACCCTTGTGCGCCCCAGTGGGCAGGCACAAGGAGCCGTTGGGACCGTGGGAAGCAGGTTGCTGAGTTGGAACAGTTGCCCCTGAGGCTGTCACCAGGGCGGCTGGCTGTGTGCCAAGCCCCTGGTTTAGTGCCGAGTGGAGGCCCAGGATGGCCTCTGCTCTCAGAGCTCTCAAAGTAGCTGGAACCACAAGATTCGCACCTGGAAGGGCAAAGAGTGGGCAGGGGTTGGTGGTATTAGGCTCTTTTGTCTCAGTGTATCAGAGGGAGGAGTCAAGAGACCCCATAGGTCGTGAGGACCGGACACTCAGAGAAGGCCTCCTGGAGGATGGGCCCTTGGCTGTGGAGGCTGCCAGAGGAGTGGACGCCTTGGGCCCAGGCACCTCCACTGGCAGTAAGGCCTTTTACCCTAGGCTCTGACAGGGACATTTATAACTCACAGCTGTGCTGTCCTGGGCCCAACTGACTGTGGTAAACCGATCTGGCTTCAGGAAGTCGCGTCCCGAGGCCACTCCCTATCCTGACCCCACACTCTCCTTCACCTCCTGACACCCACATCCTGTTCTCTGCAGGAGGGGCAGGCAGCTAGGGCATGGGGCCAGGGGCCCAGCCAGAGTCTACAACCCGTGGGCAGAGCAAAAGAGGTCAGAGAGACTCAGTGAGGCCTGAGAGTTGCAAGGTGGGGCTTCCGGGATCACCAGGGTCTACCCCTCAAGGCACACCAAGGGAGACCCAGGCATACAGAGAGCCAGAGGCCACCCTAAAAACCCACAGGAGCTGAAGACTTAAGAGCTCAGATTTTGGAGTTCAGGGGTGCGTTCTGTGCTTCACATTTAACCAAGAAAGAATTATATCTCTAGCCTCTGCTAAATAACCAACTCCAGCCTGGAGGATCCTAATGGAAAGGGCAGAGGGGAACCAGAGCCTCAGAGAATGCTGGGAAAAGACATCATCTTGGACCCCGGGCCTCTGTGTAGCCTGCAGCCCTACATTGGGACACTTCATTCTGGGACCAAATTCCTCACAGGCCTTGTGCCCATTTGCCTAGCTAGACTCTCACAACAGAGTTCACATTTGGAGAAAAGAATGATCTCACTCAGTGCTGGAAAGAGAGGACAGAATTAAAAGCATCCAATACTCCATAACTCTGACCCCCTTACCTCCCTTGGCCTTATTTATGAACTGATTCTTGGGTCCTGTCAACCAACCAACCCTCCTCATAGGACTGACTTTCTCCTTCCGTACAAAAAGAGGGTTGATAAACAATAGTGAGTTTGCCAAAGCTTGTCTTACGTAACCTGGTAACTTGTGACAAGATTCAAGAATTAGTATCCAAAGAACATGTATTTTTATTTCCGTAGTTATATACGTATTAAGATGTATTAGGAATATAAGTAACATATCAAGCCAATTATTTTGTGGATATGGTTGCTTTGGACAAGACCAGATTTATTGGGGCTAAATAGAGTGAGTCGAAGTAAAGATAAATGTTAATTAAGTCATCATACAGAGAGGACTCAGCTGGGACCAAGAGTCATGAAGGGCACAGGAGAAGACCGAAAGTTTGGGGAACACGAAATAAAAATCACCAGGGCTCTTCTCTGCCTTAAACTCTGTTTCTGGGTCTCCTTTATCAGTTTTAAGCAAAACCTCAGTCCTACACCCAGGAAGGGGACAAGGGGGGAATGAAAGCTGGTTTTCCTGGGGAGGTGCACATATATAAAATGGCTCCAAGTGTTGGTCAGAGGTCTGGTGAGCAATTCATAATGAGGAAAGAATTCAGTCAGGGGTCAAAGAGTGGCTTTGGAAGTGGCTGCCGGCCTGCTGTGTTAGATAATTCCCCGGAGCCAGGCAGGGCACAGAGAGAACACTGCAGGGGCTCATAGGCTCTGCTAAAAATACCCCCAACAGCTTCTCCCTGTCCCCCTGCCCGGGCACCGCACAGGAAGGCCATGGCTTTTTGCTTTTCTCACCAGGAAGAAAAAGACAACGCAGCTCCTGAGCCCGAGAAGAAACAAAACTTAGATATATTTTTTTAAAATTTTTAAGAATTTTACTAGGAGTTGGCTTGCTTGTTGAGGTGCAGCAGGCTGGGGAGACAGCCGGCTCTAATGCATCAGGCATCCCGAGGCATGCTTAAGTGGCCGAAGAGGACACAGAGATTAGCCTGGCAGTAAGAGACAGAAGTGGGAGAAAGTGGACTGCTTACCACTCACACATATCCGTCTCTCTTTCTGTGTACCCAGGACGAGGAGGCTGTTGACGTCAGACCAATGCTGCGAGGGGTGTGAGAAAAAGAGCCACCGTCCATCACTCAGCTTCAAGACCCAGAAAGGTAACACCAGACCCCCTGATGCCCTGAGGCCTAGGCCACACTGCCACCTGCACCTTGAGACCTGACCAGGGGCAAGGGTGGTCAGCCTTTTTTCCCAGCCCTTCTTAACGTAGACCGCAGGACTTTTCTGGAACTCCTTGTGCTTCTGGGCTTCAGTTTGTCTGTCTCTAAAATGGGTCTTCTACTTATCCAATTCTCAAGAATTCTATGAATCGTTTTGGCCTGACTGTTATTTGAAGTTAAGCCATCTTAGCAGCCTGGACCAGTTTGAACTCTGGGGGCATAGCCAGGGGTCCTAGCCCTTGTGGATGTAGCATTAAGGCTATAAAGTCACCAGGACCAGTTGGGGCTTGAGAAGAGAGAATTTTCTAAGGTGGGCTTGGCCAAAGAGGTGTCTCACTGGGATGTGGCTGTGGCAACATTTGAAACTCCGAAGTCAGTCTCAAATCTCTCTGACAGCTCTGTGTAAGAATTATTATCTGCTTTTTTAGACCACAAGACCATGGCACAGGGAAGTTAATGGGCTTGCCAGGGGTCCACAGCAAGCTCTGGCTGCATCAAAGCAGCGTGGCTGTATCCTATTTGCCATATCAGCTTCTCCATTTTACTACACTGCACTGGTCTGGCCCATCTTCCCCAGAAGTCCAGCTACTGATCCCAAGCAATGACCTGTCTTTATTGTGTGCCTGTGGAAGGACTTGTCGATCCATCCATCTACCCATCATTCATCTACTCACCTATCCATCTGTCCATCCTCCCATCCAACCACTTTCTTATTCAATCATCCTTTTATCTATCTACCCTCTCATTTCATCTACCCTCCCTCTCAATCATCCTTCCTGTCATTCATCCATCCACCTACTCATCTACTCATCCACCCATTCTTCCAACCATCTATGTACTCATTAATTCACACATCAAACACCCACTGCTCTCACACCAAGCCAGGCCTGCACTAAAGGATGGGTTTTGAAGATGGATCAGATCCAGTCCTTCTTTGAGGTGGTACAATCTACAATAGAGACAGACGCACGATCCCAGAGTCAGGCCCAATTCCATAAGCTCAAGGCTTGTGTAGTGTCTGTGACTGCATGGGAAGAGTAGAGGGGCAGTGTGCTAGCTCTGCAGGCAGGCATTTGGGGAAGGCTTACCAGGAGAGTGGTATTGTTCATTTATTCATGCTCCAAATGTTTTTTGAGAAAATACTTGATGTTTTGGAGACATAGCAGAGAATAAAACTGACAAAACTCCCTATCTTCATGGCGCTCACATTCTCATGAAGAGACATGGACAATAAATACCCAAAATGTGATATATAATATGTCAGATGATGCTAAGTTTTAAGAAGGGAAGTTAGCCAAGTAAAGGAACGGAATCTACAGGGTGAGGTAAAATATTCTTTGACAAAAGATGTTCAAGAAAGGCCTCTGACAAGGTAACATTTGAACAGAGACCTGTATGCAAGCAGGGGATGAACTGGGGTGCACTTGGCTTGTTCGAGGAAGTAGCAGGTAAGTCATGTGGCTGAAGTGAAATGAGGGGTAGGAGGAGAAGGCAGATAGATCCTGAAGGAGACCCACGCATGTAGATGAGCAAGAGTGAGCCGGGAGATGGCTGGGAAGCTTTGGCCCACATCCAGGTAGCTGTGGTGGTGGATTGGACTAGGGGCAGTAGGGGAAGAGATGGGAAGCCATCGACGTCTGAATATATTTTAAAGACCTTGCAGACAAATTTGCGGATGGTTTAGAGGTGGAGGATGGGAGAAGAGGGAGTCAAGGAAGACTCTTGGGTTTAGGACAGGAGCTACCATAGAACAGAAGTGGTCATTTACTCAGCAGGGATGCAGGCAAGGGAGGGATGACGGAAGCCAATGAATTGTATTTAGGTTTGAGATGGCTTTGAGACACCCAAGTGGAAAGGTCGAGTAGGCAGTTGAATAGATGAGTCTGGGAGGCAGAGTGCATCCCGCCTGGAGATATATATGTGGTATTTGTCGTGTATAGATGGTATTGCAAGCCATGAGGTCACCTCTGGAGTGAGTGGAGATAAAGCAGGTCAGAAGCCTGAGTCTGAGTCACCGGGCATCCAGCCCTTAGACTGGGGGAAGATGGGGTGAGGGCAGTAAATAAATGGAGAAGGTGCAGCCAGGGAGGGAGGAGAACTGAGATAGTGGGCTCTTCATGGAAGAGGAAGGTTTTGCTGACCAAGAAAGGAAAGGACACATCATGCAGAGAGAATAGCATGACAAAGGCTCAGAGGCCTCAAAAAATGAGCCATGTATGGACAGAAATGGTAGATAAGGAGGGGAGACCAGAGCAGCTTTCCCTTCCACACCTGGCCACACAGGGGCCAAGGCCCATGGGCATCTGGCTGGGCTGGGGATTAGCCCATATCCAGGACCCTCCCTGTCACCCTAGCTGGCACTCCCTGGTCTTGGCTGAGCCTCTTGCCCTAATGTCTGCATACTTTGCACTTTCTTTTAAGAAGCTTCACCTACCGCTCCTCACCTCCCACCTCTCCTCTGGGACTCTTGGGCCCCTGAGACCTCCCCTTGCCTAGTGCAGAGTTCATGGTGGTAGCTGCCTACAGTGGGAAGAGCACCCAGCGGCTTCCTATTATATCTGTAAGCACTGCCTGGATACTTTATCTTAAAAGAAACTGTAGATACTTCCAGGACTATATATGCATGTCAGAGCTGCCTGCTAGCACTCACCAGTTAGAGCAGACTCACCAGTTACAGCAGCTGAGCATGGTCCCTTTGCTGGACAAGTGTGTGCATGTTTGGGGGGTGGGAGGGAAGTGTCCACTCCTGTGCCTCTGTTGTTTAGCACTCAGCACTCAGCTCAGAGCAGACTCACCAGTTACAGCAGCTGAGCATGGTGCCTTTGCCGGACAAGTGTGTGCATGTCTGGGGGGTGGGAGGGAAGGCGTCCACTCCTGTGCCTCTGGTGTTTAGCACTCAGCACTCAGCTGTCAGTGGAGAGAATGGCCATGGCTCAGTCAGGAGAGGCTGCAGAGAGGAGCCACTCTCCCCCAAGAAGCCCCAATGCTGAGCAGGTGCTCAACGTGGTACTGGAGGTGGGAGAAGAGCATGCGGCCAGCCAGAGGTCTACAGAGATACAATCCAGTGCCACTGCCCAAGAGAATGCAGCTTGATGTGACTTTGCTATACCCTGAGAATAGGATGGCGTCCAGCAACAACACATTGACACCCTAGGCCCTTGGGGAGACGCGCCTCTGACTTTGCATCACTGGCTGGGAGAGCTGTGGGAAGCCTCTCTGATGATATGTGCCTCCATGGCAGGTCAGTGACAGGAGGCTTCAGGCAGTCTAATTAGTGGGCCAGGCGGATGGGACAAGCAATCCAATGCCTTAGACTCACTTTTCCTTAAGCCTGTCCTGGCCAAATCTCTCCCTAAATCCTCCCACTGCCTGGGTGACATCGGGCAGGAGCGGACTTATATCCCCATCGAACAGATGGGTAAATCAGGAGAGGGGAAAGGAAGAAGCTGGCATAATGCTACAGCTTATAAATGGCAGGGCGGAACTGTGAACCAGGTCAGTCTGAATCCCAAGCACTCTTACCGCTGCCCTCTACCATCTCATGGGCTCTTCTGCAGTATTCAGACTTGCAAGCACTTTCACGTAAACCACCTTTCCAACTTCCTCATTGTGTAGATGAGGCAACAGAAAACATAAGACATTTGCCCATGGCCACACAGCAAGTTAAGGGCAGAACCTATACCAGAATCTGATCTAGCCCACTGTGTCCACCCACCTCCATCCCCTATAAACAGATACAGGTATCCTGTTCAGGACCCTGCCCACTTCCATAGAAGGCACTCACCGCCTTCTATGCTCCCTTAGCCTTTGGCACTCGCTCAGGTTGAAGGCACCAAGTTCCTCATCAGAAGGCTCCATTGTGCCTATTGTTTAAATATAGATTACTAATGAAATGCTTTTTCATTGCCTTCCCAGTGAATAGTTTTCGGGTAAAGTTAATTTGCAGTGTTATGTAAATTCTGTTTAACTTCAATCAAGTTTCTAATTATGTTTTTACCGCAGTAATTCCCATTTGATTTGTCATCTCCTGTTAGGTATTTAATGTTCGGTGGGCGGGTGTGCTTTCCTTCTGTCTCTGTTTTCCAAGGCCCCCTCCTCCCTGACCCCCGTTGCCTTTCCATCTTCCTCCTTCACTCCTGCCTGCTTCTTTCATCCCCTGCCCCTTCCCTGTGAATCATTTCCCACCTCCTCTCCTTTCTTTCTTCCTTTCCTTCCTCCTCTTGCCCAGATACTCCTTCCCCTCCCATTTGCCTCTGCTCTTTCTGACTTGGTTTTTGCTCTCTCCACCCTCTCCCACCCCGACCCTAGCCCTCTCTTTCTCTGTCCTTGTTTGTACCCCATGTTCTCCCCTTCCACACATTTTTTTCTTCCTCATTTCTCTCCCTCTTCCTCTTCCACCCTAGCGACCTCAGAAACCACGTGCAGGGGCCACTCTATGTGTCTGGTACAGACAGAGGATAAGAGGTGGGGCTGGCTGAGTGTGCATCCCTGCAGAACTTGGGGCCTGGCCCTCGGAACCTGGTCAAGCGCTCTGTAGAGGATGGAGCTAGCTCCGTGCTGGGGGCCTTCAAGTTGCCGATCCCTCATCTGTAAAATGGGTGACGACATTACCCACCTCTTAGGGTCGTGATGAGGATTTAATGAGATAACATATGAAGAAGGGCTTAGCAAGAGGCCTGAGGGGGATTGGTTTTTATTTGAGAACTCTAGGCTTTGCCCTTAATATCTTTGTGGACTTCCTGAGGTGCTTCTGCAGTGGATTGCTATACTGCTGGAGTCCTGGGGGTCAGGCCTGAGGCCAGGGCAGGATGGAAGCTGGCTATAGACCCTCACAGAGTAGCTGGTGACAGTGGCCCCTCTGGAGCCTGGTCTCAGCCCTGCTTATCCAGAGATGTGACTTTTTCCTTCTTCCTTAGTAAGCCGGTCTCAGGGCTGTG